AAAGACAGAATTTCAAAAATAAAGGAATAGAAAAAATATTAGGGGAAAGACCAACAGAGTTAAACTCTACAGAGATGTCAAGTAAGGCCTAAAAAATCTCCTTATATTTGGTAATATGATAGACATTGGTGCCCTCAGCAAGAATAGCTTCAATAGAGAGTGAAAACAGAGAGACAAATGTCTGTAAGTTGAGGATAAAGACAGATCCCACTTCCAAAAGTTGTCATGGGGATTCAAAGGGAAAATGTAGGCAAAGTCTTTAGTATTAACCTGTTATATACAGTAAGTGCTTAATAAAAGTTGCTATTAAATGAAGACAAAATATATAATCTTGAAAATAGAGTTGACTACAAAGAGAAGATGTTAAGAAACCATGAACAGAAAATCCAAGAAATATGGGATAACATGAAAAGACCAAATTTAAGATTTTGGGGGGGTAGATGAAGGCACAAAGATATAAACCAAAGGAATGCACAATCTTCTCAATGAAACAATATCAGAAAATTTTCCAAACCTAAAGAATGAAATGGAAAGTCAAATACAAGAGGCCTATAGGATGCCAAATGTACAAAATTACAACAGACTCACATCGAGGCACATTATGATGAAAATGCCTAGCATACAGAAGAACAATAGAATTTCAAAGGCTGTGAGAGAACGGGGAAACCGATTTGGATCTCAGCTGATTTCTCAACCCAGACCCTCAAAGCTAGGAGGTCCTAGAATAACATATACCAAGCTCTGAAAGAAAATGGATACCAACCAAGAATCCTGAAAGAACGAACAAGGCTCCTTGTCGGAGAAAATGCCCGTTTATTGAGGAACAGCTCTGCATATTTATAGAGCCGGGGGTGGTTTGACAGTTATGACAGTTTAATGGTTGAATGGTTTGACAGTTGGCATGGGGTGCTTTCTGATTGGTGGGTAAGGATCATGTGAGCCAGCAGGGCTCACCATTGGATGGCTCTTCTCAGGGAATGGGGAAGTTAGTTTTTGGAGCTGGGGTGACTCCCAACATATCCTATATCCAGCAAAATGAAGCTTCTTGTTTTTTTTTTTTTTCAAAATTTATTTTTTATTTTTTAATTGCTTTTATTTTTTAAATACATAACAGAAGTATGCATCACTGTTCTTATTATATATATAGAACACAACTTTTCATATCTCTGTTTGTATATAAACTATGTTGACACCAATTCATGTCTTCATACATGTACTTTTGATAAGATGTCCATCCCATTCCACCATCATTTGAAACTTCATATTTGAAGATGAAATGAAAACCTTCCATGATAAACAAGAGCTAAAGGGATCTGCAACAGAAAGCCTGCACTACAGAAAGTTCTCAACAAAACATTCTATGAAAATGAAATGGGAAAAAAAAAAAAAGTGAAAGCAAACAAAGGGAGGAATTACACTAAAGGAACAGTCCACCAAAGGAGAAACTAATTCAAATTAAAAACTAGAAACTCAAATGACCTGGAATACAAACCATATCTCAATAAGAACTTTGAACATTAGTAACATAAACTCATCAATCAAAAGACACAGACTGGCAGATTGGATTAAAGAACAAGACCCAACAATATGCTGTCTCCAAGGGACTCACCCCATTGGCAAAGATATCCACAGACTGATGATGAAGGGATGGGGAAAATATATCACTCACATGGATCAAATAAACAAGCAGGGGTTTCTATCCTCCTATCAGATAAAGTGGACTTCAAGCCAAAGTTAATCAGAAGGAGCAAAGAAGGACATTTCATACTGTTTAAGGGAATTATGCATCAACAAAACATAACAATCATAAGTATTTATGCCCCAAACAATGGCGCATCTATGTACATCAAACAAACCCTTTTCAATTTCAAGAATCAAATAGACCACCGCACAATAATACTGGGTAACTTTAACATGTCTCTGTCACCTCTGGATAGATCCTCCAAACAAAAAGTAAATGAAGAAGCTATAGAAGTAAAAATATACAATAAATAATTTAGACTTAATTTAGACTTAAGAGACATATAGAGAATGTTTAATCCATCAATGACTGAATACACTTTCTTCTCAGCAGCACACGGATCCTTGTCTAATATAGACCATGTTATGTAAGCTATCACATATGTTGGCATACAATTGTAATATCACCTTAATATATTTGAAGCATCGTAGGGTTATTTTGATAGTTCCCTTTCCATTGATATTAATTTTTGTGTTCTTGCTTTTTTCTTGATTACACTTGTTTGATTTTTATCAAATCTTAGCTATACTATTTCTTCTCTATTTCATATATTTCTGCTCCTACTCTTATTGTTTTCTTCCTACTACATAATTCGAAAATAATCTGATTGTTATTCTAGCTTCTTTTTAATACAAGTACTTTAAGGAACAAATGTTCATCTGAGTACTGTTTCACCCCAGAGATCCTCATACTTTAAGCTTTTATTATCACCTAGTTCAAAGCACTTTTGATTTACCTTTCCTGTGCTTTCTTCCTTGGCTTATGAGATATTTATAAGTGCACATTTCATTTTGAAATAGTTTGTGTGGGGGTAGGGTTCTATATATTCTAAGGTGATTGATTTCTAATGTAATAGATTATGTAAAAACACAGTCTGCATGATTTCAAAGTTTTAAAAAAGTAATAGAAATTTTTTATATTGATTGTAGTGGTTGCATACATATCAAAACTGATCAAGTTGCATACTTCAAATATGTGCATTTCATTACACTTCAATTTACCTCGATAAAGCTATGAACAAAATAAATAAATTTTTCTCTTATAAACCAGGTGTGGTGGTGCACTCCTATAATCCCAGTGATTCAGGATCACAAGTTTGAGACCAGTCTCAGCAATTTAGCAAGGCCCTAAGCAATTTGGTGAGACCTTGTCTCAAAATTTAAAAAATTAAAAGGGCTGAGGATGTAGCTCAGTGGTAAAGTGCCCTGAGTTCAATCCCTGGTACCAAAATAAGAAAAGAAAAAAGCAAACATCAGTGGCTAGGAGTCTAACTCAATGGCAGAGCATTTGCCCAGCATACAAGATACTCTGGGTTCCATCCCCCGTATCAAAACAAACAAATCAGCTGTAAACATCAGCCCAAAAATTTAGGCTTTGTTTTATTGGGACAATGTTCGTGACTATTCATAATTTTTTTAATTTGATCTAAATTGTTAGTTTTTCTGAGGGTCAAATTAAAGTGTAATTTGAAGTTGTTACTGTTATGCCATTTTTATATTGATTATTCTCTCACCTCCGCTCCATCAGGGAAGAGGAGAAGGTTGGAGAAGGCTGAGAACCGCTAGAGAACAAAAGACATGCAGAAGGCAGCCCAGCACTCCTCAGCTGTGTCAGAATAATTTGCTATTGGCAAAGATTAAGAATAAAACCTTCCTTTCAAATTAGGTCAGTCAGTCATTCCAATGGCAAGGTCACTCTCAGACACTCACATGCTGATTTTGCAATTTGTCAAAAGGAAAAAAATGGGGTGGGGGGTGAGGTCTGTTACTAGCCAGAAATACTAATTCAGTGTCTTACTGGTGTCTTGCTGCACAGAAATGTAAATTCTCTCCGACCTCTTGACTACTGGAAGGACAAAACCATCATCTACCTAGGTCTTGTCTCTGGAGGAGTCAAATCTTTAATGAATGCTCTGAAGCAAGAAGGAGGGGAAGTGTCGACAAAAAAAATAAAGGATGAAGAAATTTAGAGCTCGAGTCTAGAGGCCCCAAGTGTTACCAAACCCAGGTTTGAAGGCTCATTCCCCCCCCCCCAAAAAAAAAAAAAATCAGCATCCAAGTGAGGAGTGCTGGATTGGATAACACTTTGAGCTTTCATTCAGCGACCAAAGAAAAGAGGGAGCTTTGTTCACAAATCAGCATCTCTTCCCCGTGAGTTGAAGACTCAAACGTATAGGACAGGAATAATGAGAGAGAAGGAAAGGCTAATAAAGGGGTTCATAATTCTGTCTTTTCTGGGAATAGGTGGAGATCCTCCAGGACCTTTAGATATCCTTAGCCTTCCGCGGGGGCGGGGGAACTAGGCAAGTCTAGGTCAAATTAACCCTATACTACAGTTCTGGACAAAACATTTCTGAAACCGCCAACAGGTCTATGAGCAGAGCTGAGTATAAACTAGTCCAAAAGTTAAGGCAACAAAGATGAAATATGAAACTACTCCTGGGCCATCTGGAGGTCCAGCTGCAGAGTCAAAGAGTTTTCAAGCAAAATCAACCTTCAGGTCCCATTACCTAGGCAGGTTATCGTTATAACCCTCAGAGGTGTTATCTACAGCAAAACTAGTAGGAAACTAACATTTTAGTTTCCTCTAAATCCATTAAGAGCGAGTGGAGGACCGCGCCTGGTGGTGAGCGCCTGTAATCCCAGCAGCTCGGGAGGCTGACACAGGAAGGTCGCGAGTTCAAAGCCAGCCTCAACAAAGGCAAGGCGCTTAGCAACTCAGTGAGGAGCTTAAGAATTCAGTGAGACCCTGTCTCTAAATAAAATAGAAAAAGGGCTATATGGCACTTAAAAAAAAAAAAAAAAGAGTGAGTGAAGCTAGAGGCTTTACTTGGTAAGAAGTAAACTGGGGTTTCAAGACTCTCGGTGCCCGCCACCCACGGAACCTGACCAATCAAAGAAGTTTTTGCCGTTTATCTTTCTGTTCTTTGTTGTAGATTTAAAAAAGAGACAATGAAAGGGACAAGGATTTCATTGAAAACGATAATCCGCCAGCTTCGTACTCGGAGCGTCGCATTTAGATATGCAATTACAAAATCTGGGCCAGCAACCCGGCCACCCGCCCCAGCCTATCGGGAGGAGTGTGCCCGTTTGCAACTAGAGGGTGGAAGGCCAGAACCCCGGGTTCCGAAAGGCGCCCAGCGCGGACACCGCGGGGAGCTGACCCGGGAAAGGTGCAGGACGCGGCGCCTCGGGCGGGGCGGGGCGGGTTACCGTAACCCCGCGGCGCCGGCCCCGCCCTCGTGCGCAGGCGCGGAACCGTTGCCCGCCGAGCGTTTGCGGGCCGAGCGGTTTGCGGAGCCGGCCTGGGAGGGCTGCGATCGGCTGCTCCACCTGCGCCCGCCTCCCGCGGCGCCCTCGGTAAGTCAGTCAGCCGCCCTGCGGGAGCAGCAGCCCAAGGTGCAGGGCTGGGGGACGACGTGGACAGAAATGACCTTTCCTGAAGGTGGGAAGCTCTCTGCTTCGGTGCTGCGGGTCCGAGGCTTGGACGCCAAGGAGGTTCGGTGCTCGGACAGCCCCGACCCCTCGGTGGGAATAGGAAGGGGCCACACGCCCCCGGGGAAACCGAGGCCCGACGAGGGCACGCGAGCAGACCCCGAGCGCTCTTCCCGGAGGGCGACCAGACTTGAGACCGGGACTGGGGTTGTTCGGGGAAAATGAGGTCCACTGCAGCTGGTGTGGCTGGGGCGCAGGCTTGGGTCCCGAACCCCCGACATGGGGCCGTCAGGTACCCCAGGCCCGGGGCAGCGGGGAATTCTGAAGGTCAGGGGTCGCCTTGGGCTTTAGGTACAAAGGTCAGACCGAGTCCCCCCTCGGCGCCACCGTCTCAGGAGGTTGCCTCCCGAAGTGAAAACTTGGACTTGGCCTCTCCGCGGTCTCCAGCGGAGATCTTGCCCGTGCAGTTTTAGAACTTGGACCTGTCGGAATGACGCTTGCCTCTTCCTGACGCCTAGGCTCGGTCAAGATGAATCCCGTCGTCTTGGTCCACGGTGGCGGAGCCAGCAGCATCTCCCAGGACCGGAAAGAGCGAGTGCGCCAGGGCATCTCGAAAGCAGCGACTGGGGGCTACAACGTCCTCAAGGAGGGAGGGAGCGCAGTCGATGCTGTGGAAGAAGCAGTGACCATCCTGGAGAACGATCCCGAGTTCAACGCAGGTAAATTGCGCCTCAGCTAGTGGACAATACGCCAGTCAGATCGAGCTCCTACCCCAAACATACTTGAAGAGTCTAAGGTTTTGTCTTTGGGGGTTTTGTTTGGTATGGCGGGTTGAACCCAGGGGCGCTTTACCACTGAGCTACATCCCCAGCCCCTTTTACTTTTTATTTTGAGACATGGTCTGACAAAGTTGCTGAGGCTGAGGCTGTCCTTGAACTTGGGCTTCCACCGCCTCAACCTCCCCATTCACAAGGATTACAGGCAGGGGCATCGGTGCCCAGTTCTAATTGGCTTCATAATGAAATAATATGGTAAGGGGAAAAGCAGTATTTTTCTTTTTACCTGTTGATCAACTTGTTTTGGGAGGGGTCGGAAATTTTAAATCCACTAATTCACCCTTTATTTAACCAGTTTCTGAGAATTCATATACCAAAAGGCCTTTTATTACGTTGGAGGGGGGGGGCCTTGAGGGAACAAACTTTACATATCATAAACTGTACCCTTTTCAAGTTTTGAAAAAAGGTATACACCTGTATGACCACTGCCACACCCAAGATTTAAAACATTTCTATCCCCGTCTGTGCTATTATAACAGAATAAGAAATGTGTATTTAGTCTCTCTCCACCCTTTCAGGAACACAGCACTTGAAACCCTTGTAATTCCATGAGAGTGCTGGGAGATTTGTACAGGGGAGTGAATCAGGGACACCCCACTGAGCCATATCCCCACCCCTATTTTGTATTTAAAGACAGGGTCTCCCTGAGTTGCTTAGTGCCTCACCCATTGCTGAGGCTGGCTTTTTCCTGCCTGAGCCTATCAAGCCACTGGGACTACAGGTGTGCGCCACCATGTACCAAAGATTGAACCCAGGGGCACTTAACCATTGAGCCACATCCCCAGCCCATTTATTTATTTATTTATTTATTTTAGATAGGGCCTCGCTAAGTTGTTTAGGGCCTCATTATGTTGCTAATTGCTAAAGCTGGCTTTGAACTTGAAGTCCTCCTGCCTCAGCCTCCCAAGCCACTGAGATTACAGGCATGTGCCGCCATGCCCAGAGCTAGGAGAATCTTTTATTCTAATATTTGATCTTTGACCCCAACTATTAACACAAAGTACCCATCTTTTGTAATTTCCTGGGTGATAGGAACAGCTTTTGTCCTAATGAGGTGACTTTGGGGGGGGGTTCTGAATAGAGGCTGGTCAGTATACAAACCAAGCCATAATTAGGTTGAATTTTGCAGCCCTCCACCCCCATCCCCTTGGAAAGGGAGAGGAGCCAGAGACAGTTTATAATCCATCTTGACTACATGATGAAGCCTTCCATAAAAATCCCAGAACTGCAGGTTTGGGGAAACTTTCTAGTTAGTGAACACACCCATGTACCAGGAGGGTAGTAAACACCAACTCCACAGGGTCAGAAGCCCCTGTGCCCAGGAGCCTTTCCAGACTTGACCCTGTGTATTTTTGTTACTGGGGTTTTAGGACAAAGGCCCTGCTCCAGGGGTCCCTGTAGGTTCTGCCACTCATCCCAAGATGCCACTATAAGAGATGGTCAGAGGCAAAGGAAGGAAAGAAATTTTATCAGTGTAGATATACTAGGAAGACAAGGGACTAAATAAGAAGAAAATGTCTTCAACCTGTTGGGGGGGTGCAGTACTGACATGAATTTAGTTTTAAATGGAGAAAGATGTAGAGGGGGCAAGAGGTGTGCATAATTAAGCATTTTGGTCAAACTGCTCTCTGGTTGATAGTTATCTCAGTTGTGGTTCTTCTGGGTGGCTCCATAGAAGTTATCCTGTGAAGGGACAATCCCATTCCCACCATAGGGTAATATATCTGTGAGGCTCCCCTGATCCTGGAATCCAAGGTAACTGAAGATTTAGAGCAATGACTGGAGACTTCTAGGCACTGCTGCAACTGGTCTGGGATAGGATATTGTAAAAAGCTGTTATTTGAATCTTGAAAATATTTTAGTTACTCTCCTCTTGATGCCTCCTACTTGAAGGGGGATAAAGAGGCTAGGTAAATTCAAGGCTAATCAACTTTTTATCACCAGTTTTCAGACATATACTCCTTAAATGCCTATGTGCAGAGTTGAGCAGGAATTTTATACAAAGTTCAAGGTGATAAAGGAGACAGTACAGAATGAAGGAGAGATGCTAAGCTTTATTTGCTTTTAGTTATTCAGTGGGTATCTACAGGCTGAAGAGAAGAGTCAGTGCTTTTAGCAAAAGTAACCACTAAATCCTTGTTACATTTTTCATCTGGCTGTTCATCTGTGTCCCTTATCCTATTCTTTACTCACATTCTAAACCAGTAAACATAAGTATTCCCCTGAGTCTAATGAGCTGTCCTAGGGAATTAATGAAACTGAAGAAGGAGGTTGCTGGGCTTGGTGGCACACGCCTGTAATCCCAGCAACTCAGGAAGCTGAGACAGGAGGATCACAAGTTCAAAGCCGCCTCTTCAAAAGCGAGGCCCTAAACAACTCGGTGAGACCTGTCTCTAAATAAAATACAAAAATATCGCTAGGGATGTGGCTCAGTGGTGCCCCTGAGTTCAATCCCCGGAACTCCCCCCAAAAAATGGAGGGAGTTGCAGAAACCCATCAAAACCTTCCATTTATAGCCAAGTGAGGCAGAAGTTTTGGGTAATCTACCTGTAATTGGCTTCTGAAGTAGGAAGCAGTATAACCTGTGGGATCTGATTCTAGCTCTGTGTAGATGGTGTCAGAAGTAAATTGAATTATAGGACATCAACTGCAGATGAATTGATGTGCCAGGGAAAGAAACCCACACATCTGATGTCAGAAGTGAGGTATTGAGAGCTAAGGAACCCTAAAATTCCTTCACACCACTTTGCAGTTATTCCCTTCTTCATCCCTAGCAGCAGTCCAGATGCGCTTCTGTCACCATAGATTAGCTTGCATTTCCTAAAATTGCATATAAATGCAATCATACAGAGTATGATGCTTTTGTGTTTGGCTTCTTTGACTCAAATCTGTTCATTTTTTAGAATAATAATCATCATAGCTAATATATGATGTACTATATACCATAGTCTAAGAAATTTGCACAATTAGCTCATTAAATGTGGACTGTAGTCTGGTGAACAAGGTATAATTATTATGCCCATTTCTCAGTTGAGAACACTAAGGCACAAAAAAATTGACTAACTTGCTGCAAGACATTTGCTTCCTCTTTATTCTAAAAGAGAAACCTAAGATCTCATGATTAAAATACTTCTTGGAATTACACCACCCACCCAACATCGGTCATCAAATATTGACTGAGTATTTGTGCTATCTCCTTGACTCTGCTGATCACTCACCACCAACACTTAAAAACCTTTCGCAAGTCTGCCTGACCACAGAATGAGACGTGACAGTGCACTTTTATGGCTGTTTGTTGAACCAGAGTTTACCAGCTAGGGACCAAGCAGCCAGCATGGGAAGCAGACCTGTAAACCAAATGCCTCTCAGCAGTCAGGACCCGCTGGCTGACAAACCCCCACTTGTTTGCAGAGGACCTTGATTTGAAGCAGATTCTGGTCCCCACCGTCTATTAGCTAACAGGATCCCTCATCCTCATTCGTGGGGAAGTTCTGATTAGGAAACTGAGCAGCCAGCTCTCCTTTCTTGGCTACCTTCTGGTTATCTTCCTCTAATGTCCAGATGTCTGCTGTTCAGCCCTTTGAGGGAGATGAGTAGAGCTTTAAAAAAGGAAATGAAAGATTTGGGGGAATAGATGGGCTCTAACAGTATGCTGTCTATCTTGGCTGTTTTTCCATTTGCTTTTACAAACAGATTCAAGCAGCCTCTACCATCATCCCCTGGAATATCTATTTGGGAACTTCATACAAAAAGCTGACTCTCAGCAGTTATTGGGTTCTGTGATGATAACTAGCACTCACGACAACTTATCTGAGTGTCAGTGAAAATGCTGTGTTTCCATTCCTGTTTTAATATGGATTATGTTTACTGCTTGTTCCAGTATTTGAAGTCATTTATTTGATACTAATGGAATAAAAATTGAACTTTGAGATTTGACTGCCAGAATTTCTTTTTTTTTTCCATTTTCCTTTTTTTCAAGCTGGGATATCACTATGTTGCCCAGATTGGCCTCAAAATCCTGAGCTCAAGTGATCTTCCCACCTCAGCCTCCTGAGTCACTGGGACTAAAGGCACCACCACACCCATTTTAGAAATATTGTTTAAAGTCTTACTTAGATTTTCAGCCTTTACATTTCCTGGAATAGAGCAACGTTCACACAGCACTTTAGATTGTTATTTATTCTCTCTATTATTAAGGTTTTTTAAATTTCCTTTAGTGGTAGATGGACACAATGACTTTATTTTTTTTAATATTTTTTTTTTATTTTTTAGTGGTACATGGACACAATATCCTTATTTTATTTTTATGTGGTGCTGAGGATCGAATGCAGAGCCCTGCATGTGCTAGGCGAGGGCTCTACCGCTGAGCCACAATCCCAGCCCATGACTTTATTCTTATGTATTTATTTTTATGTGGTGCTGAGGAGCAAACCCAGTGCCTCACACTTGCTAGGCAAGTGCTTTACCACTGAGCTACAGTCCCAGCCCCTCTGTAAATTCAGTTTTACAAGTTGTCAAAGAGTCTTTGAGGTAACAGGATTGTTTTTATAATTGTAAATTCTTCATAGCTGTCTATAATTCTTTATAGCATTTTTAACTCCTTTACATCTAAATGGCAAAAGTCTGTTGTGGGGTCTAGGAATTGTTTGTGGTTTGTTTGTTTCTTTGTTTTGAAGTCTCCCGTGTGATTCTAAGATGCAACCAGGTTTAGGATCCACTAGCCTAGTACTATACAATTTTAATGATTGGGTTTTTTATATAATTTACATTACAATAAAATTCCTTTTTTAGCGTGTAGGTCGATGACTGTGATAAATATATATGGAGGTGTAGCCCCTGCTACAATTAAAAAATAAAATGGTTCTCTCCCTCTCCACATCCTTTGGGTCCACACCTCCATCCACTTCTGGCCCTTGGCAACAACTAATCTGTTTTCTATCCCTATAGTTTTGTCTTTTCCAGAATGTCATACATGGATTCATGCAGTCTGTAGCCTTTGGAGTCTGAATTGTCACCCAACAGTGCATGAGAATGTACACTTAGATCTGGATATCCTCCCAAGTGTGTCCTTGGAGAAGCGTTCTGTTGTATAGGTATCCCACTCATTTAGCCGCTTACCAGCTGGGGGACTTGTTCCACTTGGGATCGTTATAAATAAAATCACCATGAACATTTGTACACAGGTTTTTGGGTAAACACAAAACCTAGGTATTTTGTGTGAATACCTAGGAGTGTATGGGAAGTATGTATTTAACTTTATTAAAAACTGCCAGACTTTTCCAATGAGACTGCCATTTTCCATTCCCACCAGCAATAGATGAAAGTTCCAGTTGCTCAGAATCTTCACCAGCTCTGGGTTTCAACGGTATTTTTTAAAGTTTAGCCATCTTTATAGGGGCATGGAGGAATCTCATTGTGGTGGTAATTAGCATTCCCCAAAATAGCAGATGATATTGAACATCTTTTCCTGTGTTTTTTTTTTCCCCAACCACATTTCTTCTTTCATGAAGTCTCTACTCAAATCCTTTGTCAATTTTATTGTTTTTTGTTCCTTATTATTGAGTTTTAAATGTTCTTTATATAATTTGGTGTAAACCTTAGACATGTGATCTCTAGATATTTTCACCTAGTCTGTGGCTTATCATTTCTGTCTGTTAACAGTGTCTTTGAAAATGCAGAAGTTCTCAATTTCATAGAAGTCCAATTTATTCATTTTTATTGTTAATGGATCATGCTCTTCATGTCATAGCATAAATATTTACCTAACCCAGGGTTACAAACATTTTCTCTAATGTAGTCTTCTAGAAATTTTAAGTCTCAATCTGTTTGGGATACATTTTTGTTTATGGTACAAGGTATATATCAATGTTCTTTTTTTGCATAATTATTCAAGCATCAATTGTTGAAAAGGCCTATAGGAAGAATAAATTGGTTTTCTTCTCTTCACTCACAAAATACTCCTGGTAGCCTGATAGATGGAAGTTTTTTTGTTTTTATTTTTGTTTTTGTTTTTTCATACCAACTAATTCTCTAATAATTCTCCAGACACCAACTGGGTGTCCTTCAGTTCAATTATGAGTCTAAGTAGACCCCACAGATTAAGGACTCACTTTCACAAGACGTCCCTCTATTTCAGATGCCAGTCACAATTAGTGGGTCCCAGGTTGCTCACTTCTGTCTAATTTGGCTACATATCAGGGGCTCCCTGTTCCCCTCCTCAGGCTCCGTATATTTCTAGGAAGGCTTACAAAATCCAGGGAAACACTTGTACTTGCTTATTTATTATAAGGAAGATGATAAAGGATACAAATCATAAGCCAGATGACATGGTAATGTCTAATCCCTTCTGACTTTATCTACCAGGAGTAGAGTCAGGTCACTCAGGTTAAGGGCTTAGTTCCACAAGCTGTCTCCCATTTACCTTCCAGGACAAGTCACAAAACTCACTCATTCACTGGCTTATTATATTAATATGATAAAGGATGCACCTGAAGAAATGTACGGGTCAAGGTTATAGGAAGGGTGCAGAGTTTCCATGCCCTCTTTAAGCTTGCTGCCCTCCTGGCACCTCCTTGAGTTCAGCAACCCCAGACCTCTCCAAACCCATCCTTAGGAGTTTTTATGGAGGCTTCATTTTATAGGTGTGATTGATTGCTTAAACCACAGCCATTGGTTATGAACTCAACTTTTAGTCTGTCCCTCACCCCAGAGGTTAGGGCAGTAGTTGACCCTTTAACCATATGGTTAGTTCCTCTGGCAGCCAGCCCCCTATCCTGACACTATCTGGGAGCCCCTAGCCACCATCCATCTCCTCAGCACACAAAAACACAATTACTGCTCTCTGCCTTCCAAGAATATTAGCATCTGTGTGCCAGGAAACTGGGATGGTTAACCAAATGCTTATCACTATCTCCATCCTCCCTAACCTCTGGAAGTCACTCATCTGTTTCCTGTCTTTATAATTTCATTACTTTCAGAATGCACAGTAAAGGGAATCATGTGACTTTTTGGAAATTTTCCCCCCACTCAACAAAATGCCCTGGATGCATCTAACATGTTACCCATGTCAAGTTTATTCCTTTATAGTGCTAAGTAGCATTGTCTGGTACAGATGTACTGCAGTTTATTTAAACATTCACCTGGTAAAGGATATTTTAGTTGTCTCCAGTTTGGGGGACTTTACTGGGCTATGCCAGTAAAGCTGCTGAGAAGGTATGTGAACAGATTTTAGTGTGAAAATGAGTTTCTGTACCTCCAGGATAAATGCCCAGGAATAGGGTTGCCAGGACATAGAGTTGGGTAAAGTTTTTATCCACTCTGCCTTCATCTGTCTTTTAATTAATCCATCTAGAATATTTGCATTTTATATAATTACTGATATGTGATGACTTAAATCTCCTATCACATTTTGGTGTTGTTTGCTCTGTTTTTTAGTTTTCTCTTCTGGCCTGCCTTTGAGTTACTTGAATGTTTTTTTAGAATCCCATTTTGTTTTACGTGTAGTGTTTTTGAGTGTCTCTCTTGGATTTCTTAGGTATTTGCTCTGGATATTTTTATATATACACCTGCCACAGTGCAGTGGCGGTGGCCTCCTTGACACAGGAAGGAGGGAGACTTCATTACTGCTGGGCTATGGTGGGAGGACAGGCTTCTCCCAAGACGGCTGCAACTCTGCCCTGCCTCAGAGAGTGAGAACTACGGATTTTTGTGTATTGATTTTTTATTTAGTCCATTTGGGCTTCTATTACAAAATACCACAGAGTGGATGTCTTATGGAAAACAGAAATATCTTACAGTTTCTGGTAGCTGAGAAGTTCAAGAGCAAAATGCCAGCAGATGAGGTGTCTGGGGAGGGCCTGCCTCCTCATAGACAGGTGTCTTCTCATTCCAACCTCACATGTTGGAAGAGCCCCCTTTATAAGGGCACAGATTCCATTCATGAGGGCTTCACCCTCATGAAATAATTACCTTCCAAGGACTCACCTCCTAATACCATCACCTTAGGGGTAAAGGTTTCAACATTTGAGTATAGGGCCACATAAATGTTCAGATAATAGCAACTTTGAATTCTGTGACTTGGTAAATTTATTTACACTAGTAGCATTAGGAGATTCTGTGAATTGTTCACAGTTATGTCATCTACAGTTTTTGTGTCTTCCTTTCCAATCTTTATGCCTTTTATTTCTTTTTTTTTGAGGGGGGGGTCTTATTCCATTAGTAAACCCATTCAGTATCATGTTCAATAGAGCTAATAAAGGCAGTGGGGGGGAAAGCACCCAGTCTCTGACCATTAAATGTGTGTAGTTACAGGATTTTATAGATATCCAGGTTGAAGCAGCTCCCTTACTAGTTTGCTAAGGTTTTTTTCATCATGTATGCATGTCACATCTTGTCATATGAGTTTTCTTTATCTATTGAGATATGTTTTTGCTTTTGTCTTATTTGGTGACTACGGATTGATTGATTTTTTTAATGTTAAACCAGACTTGCATACACCTGAGATTAACACCACTTTGTCATGATGTAGAATCTTTTTCTTTATATTGCTACATTTGATTTTTTAAATATTTTTAGTCGTCAATGGGACTGCATTTTATTGATTGATATGTGGTGCTGAGAGTTGAACCCAGTGCCTCACACATGCTAGGTAAGCACTCTACACTGACCACAACTCCAGCCCCACTGCATTTGATTTTTTAGCATTTTTCTTTTCTTTTTTTTAGCTTGTGTCTTATAATATTAGGTAAAATATTCTTCAGATTTCCATGCTTTTAACCTACTTGTGTCTTTATATTTAAAGTAGGTTTCTACAGAAAGCATATCTTTTTATACAATTTGATAATAGGCATATTATAAATAGCAGGGCATATCATTCTATGCCCAAAGGACAACTTGTGCTGCTTTGGTAATTACTATAACTAATTTTAAGAAATTAATCTTGCTTATATTATCAGTCTTGCAAAATTTTCTGACTGAGGGCTTAAGGTGCCTTTCTGCCTCACTGAAGCCTGCAAGGATGGCCCGGGTGTGTGTTCTTCCCTCATTTTACAAATGAGAAGATGGAGGAACAACAGGGTTAAGAGATTTTCGGGCACCCTGCAGGCAGCGGGAGTTGGAGAAAGGGAGATTGTGATGAGGGCTGAGGTGTGTGCATGGAAGCCCCGAACTTGAGTGAAGTGGATCCAGAGAGGAGCTGGAGTGGACCAGGAGGTCAGAGGCCAGATCAGGAATGGCTTCACACTCTATTTTTTAGGTTATAGGATGCTGCCCTAGTCCATTTCTTATGGCTATAACAAAAGATCTGAGGTAGAGCTGGGGGTGTAGCTCGGTGGACAGGGAGGGCACTGGCCTGGTGTGCACAGGGCTCTGGGTTTGAATCCAGACACCACAAAGGAAAGGGAGGGAGGAAGAGGAGGAAAAGTGGGGTAGTTAGCTCACAGTTCTGGGACTCAGGAGCTTGGTAACCACCATCTGCCCAGGGCTAGTGGGGGCCTCATGGCAGATGGCATCACATAGCTCTGGAGAGCAAGTAAGGAACCAGGGAGGGACAGGAATACTGGTTTATTAAAAAAAAAAAAAAATCAAAAAACACTGTGTCCTAGTGTGATGGCACACTCCAGTAATTCCAGTCACTCAGGGCCAGGAGGATTGCAAGTTCAGTGCCAGACTGGATCACTTAGTGAGTTCCTATCTGAAAAATCAAATAAAAAGTAAAAAGGGCTCAGGACAGATTTCAGGGTTCAATCCCCAATACCAAAAAAAAAAAGAAAATCCCCTTCCTCTGGCAGTGGAATAGAGATGGATTGAAGTGGATAAATTACAGGAAAACCTGGATTCTTCTCTAAATTCTTAATTTTTGCTTTTCAACTTGGTTGTAGGTTGTGGGTCTGTCTTGAACACAGAAGGTGACGTTGAAATGGATGCCAGTATCATGGACGGCAAAGACCTGTCCACAGGAGCAGTGTCTGCAGTGCGCAATATAGCAAATCCCGTCAAACTTGCGCGGCTTGTTATGGAAAAGGTACATGTGCTTGGAGCGCCGTGTTCCCGCGGAGTGTCTACCCCAGGGCCTCAGTGACAAACAGAGGCCTGACTGAGGGGAAGTACTTGAGATCACTGTTCTAAAAATATGTACAGAAACAGAAACAGCAGCATCTGAGCTCTCAAATCGGCCACAATTCCAACTTTTCTGGGTGAAGTCACCTGACTAGTAATCACTTGACCAGTGATGAATTTGTCATCTTTCTGTATCTTTTTTTTTTTTTTTTTTCGTACCGAGGATTGAACCCAGGGGTGCTTACCCACAAAGCCACCATCTCCAGCCCTTTGGGGTTTTTACTTAGAGACAGGGTCTTGCTCTGTTGCCTAGGGCCTCACTAAGTTGCTGAGACTGGCTTGAACTTGCGATCCTCCTGCCTCAGCCTCCAAGCCACTGAGATTACAGGCGTGCACCCCTGTGACTGGCTCTTCCTGTATTTTCTTCAAGCCTCTTTCAATACCTATAACTCAGCACACACAAATTGAGAAGACCAGCTATTTAGGAGCATGTGTTAAATACAAATATGTTAAGTTTTCTAAATTTAAGATCATATGTAAGTATGATTTTCTACATTCAGAAAAGCCAGTCAATGAAATTTGCATTTTGAGCCTTTGTACCCAAAGAGAAACAATTATTTCCACACATTTAGTACAGGTAAGAAGATTAGAGGGGCTGGGGATGTGGTTCAAGCAGTAGCGCGCTCGCCTGGCATGCATGCAGCCTGGGTTCGATCCTCAGCACCACACACAAAGATGTTGTGTCCGCCAATAACTAAAAAATAAATATTAAAAAATTCTCTCTCTCTCTCTTTAAAAAAAAAGAATATTAGAGATTTTCCAAAAATTAACCATTTTTTCCTTTTCTTGCTGGCTCAGACACCTCATTGCTTTCTGACGGGTGAAGGTGCGGGCAAATTTGCAGCAGAGATGGGGATTCCAGAGGTTGCCATGGAAGAACTGATAACAGAGAGAAGCAAGAAGCAACTGGAAAAAGAGAAGCATGGGAACGGAGCCGAGAGATCAGACTATCCAAAGTAAGTCTCACCTGCCGCCCATCCTTCTGGGAGTTATTAAAGTATGAAGGTTTGGCCAACATACAACTATCTACATTTCTTAAATGACTGAAACCAAATACCGGAAAAGCTACTCTTGTTATTCTCAAATTTAACCTCGCTTATTACTCCTATGAGCCAGGCGAGCAGAGTTCCTTTCCTGGCATGATTTAGGAGAGAATGATTTGCATTAGGGTGTCATTTACCCAGATGCTTCTCCCTTCCCTGACTGGGTACCAGGGGTCAAACCTAGGAGCGCTTACTCTCTGAGCCACATCCCCAGCCCTATTTTGTATTTTATTTTGAGACAGGGTCTCACTGAGCTGCTTAGCTCCTCACCTTTGCTGAGGCTGGCTTTGAACTCAGGATCCTCCTCTCTCAGCCTCCTGAGCTGCTGAGATTACAGGCATGTGCCACCGTGCCCTGAAAAAATCCTCTGATTTAAAGCAATTTTGAAAATAAAACGTGAAGATGGCATGGGAAGTCATAATGGAACTCACTTTAGTGACTCTGCCTAGTTCTTACTGGGAACCACCTAGGGAACTTTTTCAGAATATTCATGCTTAAGCCCCTCCCTAAAGAATCAGACTCACCAGATCTGCAGTGATGAGGCCAGGCAGGTGCCAGATGGAAAAGTGTCCCAGAGAATTCTGGTTAAGAATCCGATTTACCTGGGGGGGCTGGGGTTGTGGCTCAGCGGTAGGGCGCTCGCTTAGCATGCACAAGGCCCTGGGTTCAATCCTCAGCACCACGTAAAAATAAAAATAAACAAAATAAACGTTAAAAAAAAAAAAAGAATCCGATTTACCAGGCTGGCCATGTGCTGGGAACTGGTGGCAACCTCAGTAGCATGCTAGTGTGTCAGTGGGCTAGTGGAGGAAGGGGGTCGCTTGATAAATGATTCATGTTTATGTCCAAAGATGTTGCCACGTTGCATCCCAAGACTCTGGAACTCTGCATCTCCACCAGCCAGCGCTGCTCTTAGAGTAAGCAAGCAGGGCTCCTGCCTGGGGCCCAGCACTTTAGAAGGGTTTCACGCCATGAATACACCTTTGTCGCTCAGTATTGGCACCACACAACCCATAACCCTCCTCCTCCCTCCTCATCTGCTCCTGTGACTAACTCCATTCAGCTACCAGGGGAAGGCTGTGCCACCTCCCTTGCTCTGCGTCTCGGAAGCAGAGGCCGCCTGAGTCCAAATTTGTGGGTTGTGCCACTGCCAACATCAGAGATGGATACTGCTCTGGAATGTGGGAAGACTGGAACAGCAGGACTCGGGTAAGAGAAAAAGCAAATGAATGAAAAGTTAACTTGTCACAAAGTATTGATTCCCTCTAGTGCCAAGCATCCAGTATCTCAGCTCTGCTGTTTCAGCTTGAAGTTCTGAAGGTATTGAATTAGTAGCATGTGCACAGAGTTAAATTTGTGTGCATGTCTGACTAGAAGAGCAGTAGAAACATAATGAGAACCACTTACATCACTTTTAAAAATAAAAGGAAACAGGTGAAATTAATAATATATTTTATTTAACACGGTATATTATATTACCATCCAAAATATTTCCATTTCATCTGGTAATCACTATAAAAATTATGTATGAGCTATCTTACGTTCTTTTTTCATACTAAATCTTTAAAATCTTACATGCGTTTTGTGCCTGTGGTGCACCTCAGTGCAGCCTAGCTAGCTACATGTGGCTAGCAGTCACCAGCGGCCACCTGTAGCTGGCGGTGACCACAGTGAACAGCACAGCTCCAGAGTCAGCTGCCCAAGGGGCCAACTAAATGGACCTTGAATATAGAATATTGAGTGGTCTGTTTTATTTAATAAGAGATAATTAAAACATTTAGTTAATTTCAAAAATGTAACATTAAATTCTTAGCTCTTAAGTGATTTTGACGTAAGACATATTCATTATTTATAACCCACATTTTTATTGTAGTATTAATAGACAATTTTTTTATATTTTACAAAAAACTGACTTGAAAATTAAGTCTTTAAATTACTTTTTATATTTTTCAGCTTCTTTAAATTACCGCTTCATTTTTTTATGAAAATATATTCTAATTTTTTGTATACTTTGGATATAACTTTATTTTACTTTTTAATCCCTAGATTATTGAAATTGAGTATAAGTCAAGATTTTGATAGAAAAAGAATGAATACTAAAATGGATCTCACAACAGGAAAAAAAGTGAAAGAAAAAAAAGAAGCAAAAAAATTCTTCAAAGAAGAGTCTGCTTCCACTTTAAAAACTGGAATCCATAAAGCAAGCAATCTCCTTCCAGGATGAGCCATGTCAAGTTCACAACAGGACATTACCAATTCTTTGTTAAATGAAGATTCCGTTTCTTATCCAAATAGTGGAAATCAGTAAGAAGTTTATTCTCGTGGAATCCACAACTTGAACAGATCAAGTGAAATCCCTGAAGCTTGATATTCTTCATTGAAGAATTGAATTTCTGGCCACAAAGAATCACACACAAAAAAAGCACAGGGATTGGGAGGAAGAGGCCGAACACACAGTGGACAGTTGGTGACACCAGGAAAATATAGCGCTGGAAACGTCACCTGCTGTCCTGGAGAGGACAACACGGGTGTCCAGGATTTAGTCAAGCCTCATGGTTCAAGACACCACCAGGGTTTACTGCCGCAGTCTGGCTGGGCACACAATCACGAGCCACCACACAGCTTGTAGATTCAAACAGCAACTCTTTATTCCCGAACTCACACCAGCCGTCTACAATCACGTTCTGGGGAAATCCACGTTCTCTGCCCAAATCCACCCCCACTGGGCTTCTGTCTCCCAAAAACTACTGTCTGAATCCCGTGAGAACTCAAGGGGAACTCAGGCAGCAGGATACGCCCTATTCCCAGCAGGAATAACCTTAAACCTGGACCGCCCTAAACCCTGATCGTCCTAAACCGGGAACACCCTAAACCCGGATCCGCCCTGGTCCTTGAGCAAGGTCACCTTAGATGCAATGTCACTGCAAAATGTCCTATTTCCACGAGTCCTTCCACTAAGCAACATGGGGTATGCTGGCAAGGAAATTGTCATACCTACTTGGCTAATGGCTCCCAGCAGTTTACAACACAACAGAAATGTTCTTGGTTTAGTAAAAATGATTTCAAAATTCGGCAAAATGCCAAACATGATTTGAAGACAGAAAATAGTGAAACACTGTGCTCAGTGTGTAGAATGGGGAATTCAAACACGTTAATTCAATGGGCAATAAAGACATTAAATCTTTTTTTTTTTTTTTTTGAGACAGAGTTTCACTGTCCCAGGCTGGCCTCAAACTCCTTATCCTCCTGCCTCAGCCTCCCAAGTAGCTGGGATTACAGGCAGGCGAACTGGGGAGTGGTTTGTTGGTTGGCTGGTTTAGTGGTAGTTTTTTCGTTTTGTTTTTGGAGGTGTTTTGTTTTTGCAGTGCTAAGGTTGGAAACCCAGGACCTTACACATACTAGACAAACACTCTACCACTGAACCCAGCTAAAATGTGTTAATCTAGAACGTACCGTGGTCAGAAGACGTGCTGGACAACTGACATTTACTGGAGGCTCATCGCACTACTTGAAGAAGGGAAACAAGTCTAAAGCAATCTGTGTTTCACTGGCTTTACATCAGCTTCTTAAAATATGGTTTTAAATTAAATGAAGAAGTAGGTGGGGAAACTTTGCTGTAGGCGTTAAGTTGAAAGACTGTTGAAGGCGGCAAGCCTGTGGTAATGGTGATGACGGATGATCTGACCGGGTTGGTAATGGAAGCATACAAGCAGGAAGCTTGGCCGAGAGTCCACTAGGTTCTGTGTCTGTGTGCAGCTGTGTTGGATTTGTTTCAGGGATATATGACCTCAGCTGAGCCAATGGCAGGGTGCTGTGGAACACAGAGGGATCCTCTAGATATGCCCAAAGGGGGAGCATCTTGACTGAATTCATGTCTGACCCTATAACAAAGACGCGTGGTGGGGACACCTGCTGAATGCTGCTGACGTAACTCAACTGAATTTAGATGGGAAGAGCTAAGCAGAACCACAGAAGGTGTCCAAAGAGTAAGGCATGGGCCTCCGCAGAAGGTGAAGGTGATTTTTAATTTGTGCTATCTGTAAGTGCTTGAATACACTATGGGCTGTTTTTTGTTGTTGTTGTTGTTTTAATTCATACTGGAGAGTGAACCCTCGGATGCTTTACCACTGAGTTACATCCTCGGCCCTTTTTCGTTTTTTATTTTGAGACGAGTCTCACTAAGTTGCTGAGGCTGGCTTTGAGCTTGTGATCCTCTTGCGTCAGCCTCCTGAGTCACTGGGATCACAGGCGTGTAACACCACACCGGGCTTACACTGTTGTCTTCTAATAATAAGCTTTAAAAAAAAAGAAGATCTGAGTTGGCCTATTTCTGCTTTTAAAGAATTACAGATATTCTTTGCTTAATTCAAGGAAGAACTTATGTACAAAAAGTCCCCCAACCAATTTCTGCAGACACTATTTTTAATCGGTATGGTCTCATTTGAAAAGAGAGATATGAAGAAAATGCTTCTATCTCTGATTTTCTTTATAATATACCAGCATTGAAATTTAAAAGAAGAATTTATTTGCATGAAAATAGATATCACTTAAGAGATGATGAAATGACAATAATAAATGGTTGTGATTTATACAACCAAATTAAAGTATGTAATATCTTCTGTGATAATAATTTATCATGTATAGATCCATGCGGTGTTTTTGCATGATGATGTAAAAATCAGGATTCATTTACAAATCTAAGTATGCTTTAAGAACTACATTGGGCAATTCCATATTTATCCGAAGTAAGGCATCTCCAGATTAAAATTGCTTTAAAATGTACTAAGAATATATCGACTCCAAAAAGGTTGTCCTATTTTTCATTTTTTGTCAATAGAATTCATGATGTGTGAAAATGTTGAGTGTGAGAACATGACAAGTGACCCCTGAAACAAAGACAAGAAAAATGGATTGTTTGGAGGAAGTGCATAACCATTGTGAATCCTGCTGCCATCCCCAGCTAATCCAATGGTGCAAGTGTGCACAATATTAATTATAATAATAATTAAATTACATCATCGTTAGTAGTATGTTAACTTTCAGTTAAATGAAAACGTAGCTTTGCAATACTTTTCAAGATCAGACAGCATGGAGATTCCTAAAGAAATCTAAAATAGAACTAGCATGTGACCCCACAGCCCGTCTGTGTCGTACACCCCAGGGAGATGAAATCAGCGCGTCCTAAGACTTCTGCACTCCCGCCTTCGTTGCAGCATCATTCTCAATAGCCAAGATATGGACGTGTCTGTAACGGATGAATGGATCAAGAAATTGTGGGGTGGGGGTGTGTGCGTAAGTAATGGAATATTAAAAAGAATTGGGCTGGGATGTAGCTCAGTGGCAAAGCATCTGCCTTGCATTTGCAAAGCCCTGGGTTTGACCCCCCCCCCCCAGTTCCAAAAAAGACAAAAAAAAGAACCCCACCAACAAGGGGATCCTGCTGTTTGCAACCACATGGATGGACCTTGAGGATATCAGGCTAAATGAAATCAGACAAAGAAAAACACGGCATGATCTCAGCTGCGTGCAGCATCTAAAATATTTATAATAATAAAATACATAGGAAAGAATAATAATTCCTAGGGACTGGGAGAGGGTGGGATAAGGGAAGTGGGGAGAAGTGGGTCCAAGGGTACAAAGTTACAGTTACGTAGCATGGATAAGTCTAGACACACAACGTGCAGACGGTCATTAATGATATTATCTACTGGAAATTTGCCAAGAGTGGATCTTAGGTAACAAAAAAAGGTAACTCTGACATAATAGATAGTTATATAATTTTGATTGACTATAATAATAATTTCATTATATCAAAATGTACAGTATACCTTTATTTTATGCGTATATGTTATTTTCATATATGTATGTGTGTGTGTATATATGTGTGTGTGTGTGTGTGTGTATGAAAATATTTTCAAGACAGTTTACCATGGTAAGAAGGTAGAGAATACTCATAAATTCTGAGTACTGACCATATATGCTGTGTGGGCCTCTGACTCCATGTGTGCTCCTGCCCTGTCCCTTGCAAAGTTGGGAGCCAGCCCGCCACTGGCAATGCCTGAGAGCACCTCTTTACTTACCTACTTTTACTTTCTTTATGGCATTTTTTACCATATAAAAGATTTTTTTTTGTAATATGTCTACCTTTTTTTATAGTTAGCAAAACTAAAACTCAGAAAAGCATTTCCCACTTGAGACACACAGCCCCCTAGATTGAGTTCTTTGGCCATCCGCAAGTAGACTTTGAGGTGACGGAACCCGGGGCTCCTCCTGAGTAGATGCCCTGAAGGCAGGCAGTGTGGGTCCGAGCCTGGGTCCAAGATAGAGTTTTTATTTCTCAGCCCTACCACGCTCCTCCATACACACACCAACGGCAAAACAAAAAACCCTACTCCTAATGATCTCCTACACTGCAATACATGCCTTTTCACTTGCTGAGGCCAAATGCCTTCAGACTCTTTCAAGATTTCTCTTCCTCACATCCTGTCCACCTGCAAACTCAAGTCTGCCTTCAAAACGTCCAGCCTCTCATCACCCCTTCCACCAAAACTGCCCTAACAAACCAGCGCCTCCTCACACCTCCTCCCTGTCTGTTGCTAGTCTCAACTCTCAGTCAACTACACACCAGAGTGATTCTTTTAAGATAAACTTTGCAGAGGAGCACGTACACAAGCACACCAGTCTGCACCTTGATGGATTTTCATAGAATACACACACCCACATAATCAGCTGCCAGATCAGAAAACAGGATGTTGCCAGAAGCCCCACCTCCTGCCCCTTCCTGCCTTCCCCTCCCCCAGGTAGCGGCTGGCTGACTTCTAGCACAGTGGATGATGGTGTGTTGCCTGTGTTAGCTTGGATTGAGTGGAACCATACGGGGTCTGCCTTCCTCCCCATTGGGGTATGGTATTCCATGAGTATCCCACGGTTATCTACTCATCCTGGGGTGGGGAGGGGGATTTGTGTCTTCTGTTTGGGGTCATTACAAACAGCGATGCTTGGAACATCTGTGTGCTCTTTCTGGGTGATCATGTGTCCATGTTCTGATGGACAGATTGGCGGTGTGTAATTGCTGCGTCGTGGAGCGCCTTTATGTTCAGCCTTAGCAGATGTTGCAAAGTGAGATGTCAAAAGGGTCTGGCCAGTGTGCACCTGTGGCCTTACTGAATGAATGATGATTGGGGTTCCTGCACATTTTTTGTCAGAGCTTCATATCGTGCTTTTTAAATTTTAACGGTCCCCGTGGGTTGGTGCATTGATAAGAATGATTATTTTTAAAATTCAACTCAGATAACGACACTTCTTGGCTTAAACTCCCCTATCTCCTATCTCACACTTGCTGCTGTGACTCAGCGCCTCGGACTGACGGTATTCCAGGATGGTTTACTGTGGAATCTGGGTGGATGCACGGGTGTTAAAATACGTTTTCAACCATCTCATCAGAAAATTCATAATAGAATGTCAGGAGGGAAATCAACTTACTCGATCCTCACAACAACCCCATAAAATAGGTACCTGGCAGCTCCACCATACCTGGGAGGTGGCCACCCTGGAGCTACCAACTCGCGTCCTCCGTTTCTTTCCGTTCGTGGTGGCCGCTTCAGAATCTCTTGGGGGCAGGCAGGGATCCAAGGGAATCTCATGCACGCCCAAGTTTGAGATGCAGTCATATTTATAAATCTGTTATATTTATCCCCATTTCATTCATGGAGACAGTGAGACACAGGGAATAAAACTTAAGCCACACAGCGAGATAATGGTAGTGCCGGACTGGATGTCCTCCTAGAGTACAGAGCTAGAGAACGTCTGGAAGTCCGCCTGTGACTGACATGTGGGGTAAGAAGCAAAGGAGAGTGTTGGCATGGAAGGTGTCCCCACACTGTCAACATGTCATGTGGGAATTCAGTGGCTGTAAGCCACACTGGTGCTTGTGGGAGCGTTTCTCATCTTCAAACTGTCACTCTTTTTGTTTTTGGCAGAAACTCGGCGGGCACTGTGGGTGCCGTGGCCTTGGACTCCAAAGGAAACGTGGCTTATGCCACCTCGACAGGGGGTATCGTTAATAAGATGGTTGGCCGAGTTGGGGACTCACCATGTGTAGGTAGGTCTGAGGGACCGCTCCTGCCTCTGCCCCTTTCCCTCCCTGTCACCAGGTCCCCTTCGTTCTCTCTTCTCCGCTGTTCTCTCCTTTTCTTGTTTTATTTCCTCTTCTCAATGACAGCTTCAGAATTGGGGGCTGGAAGGGTTGTTTGGGGCACTGCTTTGAGAGGATGTTTTCATCCAGTGGGCATTCTGTTCCCTGGATTACATTTTTGGGATGCCTTGGGGAAGGAAACAGAGATGGGCAATGCATTAAATGCTTAAAATGCCCCGGGCTTTTAACCCTGTAGGCTACCTGTCTTCTCTTTAGCCCCGGTTCAGAATCTGCCGACTTGCCTGCAGAGGGTTAAGCACCCAAAACCTCTTCCCAGGCGTGGGCTCACATTAATGATATAAGAGAGCTGGGAACTTCAGTTTGCAGATATTAGAATTAAGTGGCACAAATTTGACACTTCTACAGAAATATTACAGATTGAAGTGTTCTTTACATTAACGCTAGCGCACGTCCTCTCTTTTCCAGGACGTGTGATTGGCAGGGTCGGGGGCTTGTATATGTTTCATCCTGTGCAGATTTTCAGAGTTTTCTTGTGAGAATTCTGATTGAAGTTTCAGGAACAGCTAAATTGTTTCAACAGCTTGTACTTTGGGTGGAAAACTAACCCTGCCCTCCCTTTTTTAATGTGTTGCTTTAGTCTTTGGTAGTAATCTGTACGCTTGACAACTCTTGACATCCTTTGTACTGTCATGAACTTGGAGGAGACCCTGGAAGCCTCTTTAAAGAGAAGATGTCTAATTACTTACCCCAGAGATATGAAATAATCTTTTCTCCTTAGCAAAAAAAAAAAAAAAAAATCCTCCCAAAATGTCTGGTTGGTTGTGCAGTTTGCCTGCAGCTGGGTTCAGCCCAGGCTCCAGAGGCACAGCAGATCAGGTCCCAGAAACCAAATTCAAATTTGTTAGGTTGCGATGGTGACGTCTTGAGAGAGAGAGAAGGTGTCACCCAAAGTCCTTGTCTTGGTTCTGACCCCCACGTGTGCTCGACCTGGACTTTCTGATGAGCATTCCCTTGGGACACCCCAGCCGGCCCCAGAGGACTCTGGGTGGACACTGGGCACACTGCAGAGTTCTCCCAGGTGTTGTCATCTTGAGAGGGGGGAGGTGTCTTTGCAGTCCTGCTGCCCACGCCAGGACCACTCTTGGCACCACCCTGGTCTTTTGTGGTCTTAGAAGACGTGAAAGTAAAGACCTGGCTGTCTCAGCCATCTGGACACCATGGGGTCAGTCCAGTTCCTCCCACAGCAAAAGCTTATAAGAAAAGCCACCTCCCTTGGCTAGAGTTTACAGTCCCTACCCTGTTCCAGCTCCCTCCAGAACTAGGGGTTACCTGCCTCTGAAAACCCTGGGGACCCGTGACATTCCACACAATGTCTCCATTCCAGAGCCCTTTCCCCCCATGCCCCATCAATAGCAAAGGCGAAAATCAATATAATGCTTCTGATAGACCAGGGGAGAGTAAAGGCTAACTGTGCCAATACCGTGGGACTCTCAGGCCAGTGGCTGTGTGTGAACAGGTTCAGGAATGGAGAGGAGACCACAAAGTCACTTCCATGTGGGGTGTGGGAAGGAGACCGGGAGGGGCAGGATCACTGAGCAGGGGATGGATATGCTTTGAGGCAAAGGAGATGCTGGCCTGGTGTAGCTGCTCTGTGAGGTCACCCCTGCCTCCCTCCCCAGGGCTCCATCCTCCTGGATTCCAGTGCATCCTGGTCCATCGTTGCTTCAGTGGCTCCTGGCCATGAACCTGGCCTTTGCCTACTCTTCAGCACTCTGAGGTTTAGCCTTACGCAGCACACGCCTAGGTGATGTGTATTTGTGCTTCCTGACCATTGCTGCTAAGTTAGAACCAATCACTTTTTTTGAGCAGGATCTGGAGGTTACGCTGACAATAACATCGGAGCCATTTCCACGACGGGGCACGGGGAGAGCATCCTGAAGGTGAATCTAGCCAGGCTCACTCTCTTCCACATGGAACAAGGTATGTGGAACAAAGGACAAGTTCATAATTTGTGAAAACAAGTACAGGAGCTAGGTGATCAATAGATGGAGAAGTATGGGGAGCCCTCTCTTATTGGCTGCAGATGTTCTTTCAGAAAGAGTTTCCACTATTTGACTCCTCCCCACCTTCTAGTCGGATCTGGACTAGGAGAGCACTTAGAATACTCTTTTCTCTGCATCTCAGGAGATGGGGGCTGCAGAGGCATCCAGCCTGGGTGGGTTAGGGAGGGCAGCTCTGCTTAGCTGATGCAGGAGCTCTGTCTCAGCTAGAAGGTGAGGATCCTCATTTTAGGCATGCAGATAGAAATCATTAACTCACTTTGGCTTCTCATACTGCAAAGGATGTCACCATCTGATTCCTTTCAGTAACCTGTGTTGTTTCTCAACTTTCCTTTGTTCACAGGAAAGACCGTGGAAGAGGCCGCGGACCTGTCGTTGGGTTATATGAAGTCAAAGATCAAAGGTTTGGGTGGCCTCATCTTGATCAGCAAAACAGGAGACTGGGTGGCAAAGTGGACCTCTACCTCCATGCCCTGGGCAGCCGCCAAGGACAACAAGCTGCACGTTGGCCTTGACCTTGGTGACACCACGATCACAGACCTGCCCTAAACCCCTGAAATTTGTATTCTAGGTGATAACTTGGAGGTAAAACTCATCTGCCTGCTGGGGAGATGCCACTTAATCAATTAGATTCAGAAATGGAAAAATTACGCAATCTGTCCCTCATTTTGTTGCCTTGATCAATAAGTATCTGAATGTTTGGTTGAGGGTGTGGTTCCAAAGCAATAAGAGAAATACCCATATTAATATCCAAATAAGGGGCCGGGGTTGTGGCTCAGTGGCAGAACACTTGCCTCGCACATGTGAAGCAGTGGGTTCGATTCTCAGGACCACCTAAAAAAATAAACAAAGATATTGTGTCCATCTACTAAAAAAATATGTCCAAATAAGACCAGTGAAGATGACAGTCTCTAGCCAGCAGTCTCCATTGTGTAAGGTTAAAAAGAAGGGAGGATACCTTGGCCCAGTGCAGGGAGCCTTTTGGGATTGGGAGACTCAAAGCTTGCAGGTGAAGGACCAGAAAGGGACCAGTTCCGCGAAGGTGCCTGAGTGAGGTGGGAGAAGCTGCAGGAATGTGACAAGGACCCTTGGCGGAAGAGTGAACATTCTCGAAGGGAGGTGTTCTTCATCTGAGAGAGGGAAAACAGGTTTTCCTAAGAAAGCTCAGTTCTGCAGCTGACCAACATGGACGTGTTTCCCGATGCTTGCAAAGGACCCTCTGATCACCCGTAGCTCCCCCAGCTGGAGACAAGGGACAATAATGGAAACTTGGGGTGGGGGGTGCTTTGAGTCTTAAGGGTTTTCTGGGTTCACCTAGCATTCTCCCACAAGCCAGCCCCTACCTGCCACAGACCCCCGTCCCCACCCAGGGAGTCACAGGGCTCCGCCTCTCCAACAGCGGGGAGTGGCCAATCAGTGGAGAAATGACACCGTAATTTACTGAGGACACAGACTCTCTAGAGCTTTGGGGCCCCCCTGAATGTACTGAGAGGGCATTGTTCAGTGTGTTCAGCGTGATAAAGTCATTTCCTTGGTGAGAAATATCCCCGTCCATCTCACTGCACTGGAAATGGTCTTTCTCCTGTGACACATCTGCTCAGTTATTTAGTCTGCCAGGGCTTACCTTCTCTCTGGAAACTCGTTGCTTAACTCGAAATTCCATGTGCCACTAATAAAATGTGTTTTGAAAGAATAACAGTGTGGTTCGGAGTCACTGTGGACCAAGACCAGAAGCATGCAAGCTCTCCCCGGGTCTCAGTGCAGGCAGCTGACCAGACTTTTGAAGTGAGGATGGCTTGCGGGTGTGATGACACATCCTGTCTTCGCAGAGCGTAATCAGGAGTTTTTTGGAAGAGTCAAACTTTTTCTGAATGAATTAAAGAGAAGAAATAAAAACCACCATTTGCAAATAGCAACAGGCCATCTTCCTACAGTTTGGCAGTATTCATCCCAGAAAGACTCAGAGTTCTAGCTTCTGATCTAAGACCCTCCCTGGGCTCCCATCAGCTGCTCTGAACTAAAGACAAAGAGACCAACTGCATCTGGAGTCAGAAATGAGCTTGAAGTCTGTTTCCACCCACTACCTGGGTGATCCTGGGCACGTCAACTTCCAGGAATTTTTCACCTATAAAATGTTACCATGAAGATCAAATTAAAGAAAAACTACTTGGTATTCTATCTTAAGGATCCTATGGGCAAATATGTAGAAACTACACCCTGCCCAGGAAGAAGGTTGTATGTTCATAGACCTAAAAAACACCTTTAGAAGTATTGTGTTAGAAGGAGAATTCGTTTTCTAGGGCTGCCGCAAGAAATGTCCATCGACTGGCTTAACCAACAGGAAAGAATTTTCTCAGTTCTAGACGTTAGAAGTCCAAGATCAAGGTATCAGCAGATTTGGTTTCTCTCCTTGACTGGGAGATGCCTGTCTTCTCCCTGTGTCCTCACGTGGCCTTTTCTCTGGGCATGCACAGGCCTCTTCTTGCAAGGACACCAGTCAGATTAGGTACCATCCCATCAGTCTCATTGAAAGGCCCCATCTCCAAATACAGTCCTTTTCTGAGGTCATGGGGATTAGAGCTTCAACATGCGACTTGGGAAGATGACGGAATGCAGCCCGTGACAGCCCACAACGCAGGATCGTGTTCAGGATTAGAAAGGCAAGAGACCCTTTGGAGAAGAAAATAATCACTAAGTACCTAAGAAAAAGGGGGAGAGGGATAGGAAGGCCACAGTGAAAGAGCTGTCAGAGCTTATCTGTCATTTCTCCCATTCACAAGGGAGGGGACCCTAGTTAAACACTGCCACGGGCTGGGCTTGTGGCCACTTGACCTCTTCAGGCAGTTGCCATACAGAATCATCCGCCCATTCTCAGCCACAGTGTATCTTTTTGCCCTCAGACCTTGGTTTGGCAAAAAAACACTAGCCTGGAAATTCTGTAAGGGGAGACCACAAATGGTTGTGACTTTTGCCCCACGCCACCAGTGGCCTGCTCCATAACTGTCAAGCAAACAAACGATCAAGATATTATCTGCACCCGAATGACGGTCCCTTTAATCCCTCTGTGCCACAAGAGGGCAGCAAACTACAACATGTCCACAAGGGTCAGAGGCCCAAAGAGGAGGTAATTTATCTTATTCTGGAGCAGAACCGCCTCTGGGGAAAATGTGGAACCAACAGAGGGTCCATGTTCCCAGCCCTCCTTTTCATCCAAATACTTTATTTTTTAGAGCAGAACTATCAAAAAAACAAACGCAAATGCCCCAGGGAGCCATCCAGATCAACCCTTAAACCTCCTCTGCTGGGGGTGGGGGCTGCGGCAGGATGCCCCAATTCACAGTGAGCAAAGTCGGGCTGCTCAGCCCTGGCCTTGGTTACTCCTTCCAGCCAGGAGGACATAAATTGCCACTTGGCCTCTGCCCGCCAAGTGGTGAGACAATAGGAGCACAAGAGGGTCCCACAACCAAGGTCAAGTGACCACCCCAACAGGAGGTGCTGGGCCAGACACCTGCCGAGCTGCAGAGGAAAGTCCTGGGAGAGGAGGCGTTTCAGCCTTGTAGCTATTGCTCAATAAACGCTTTTTCTAAATGCATTCTTTCTTGACTTGTCCTTCTAGCATCGAGATATAAACTGAGGGCAAAGGAAGGTAGAGCAGGTGTACTTCATGTCCCTGTCATCAGAAATGGAGGGTGTGGGGAAGGAAGGCCAGGGTGCTCCTTCCCCCAGCCCCACACCTTCCCCACTGGAGGCCTCCCATCAGCCTTCACCTTGGCACAAAACCCCCACTGAATTTGGATTCTGCAGCTGTTTAGAGGAACAGGGAGTGTCCCCAAGAGGGTGTCCAGCTGTGAGAAGTAGGGGTGTCCTCTCTCCTCTCCACAGAATTGGAGGCACAACCCAGAAAGGAATGAGCCAAACCGAAAGATACAGGCAATACCAGGTCAAGAATGGGGTTGGGAGGAAATCTGGGCCTGGAACGTGGGTGCGGTCGGGTGGGAGTGGGTGTGGTCTGGGTGCCATTAGTGGCTCCATCCAGAGCATAAATACCATTCCGTGGGAAAGCAGCCTCCTTACCTTACCCTGCCCCACACCAGACCCCAGAAGGAGCCGAGCCATAGTCGTAGATAGCACATCTTAGAAATGTGCAGTGGAGGCTCCGGAATTATCCTGCCCTTTAAAAGATAAGAAAATAAGGCCCCGAGAGACTGGATCCCCCACCCAGGGCACTCTTTCTACTCTTGTTAACCCAAGGTTATCGGCCACCCTAAATCCCGGGGCTCCTACCTACACGTGACCATCCTCATCACGCCAGCCATGACAGCCAGCATCCTCCTAGTTCTGGGGAAGCCCAAGAGTGCTCCAGCTGGGAAGGAGGGAAGAGCAGCACATCCTCAGCTTCCCCCAGGCCACCATTAAAATGAAGTTGGGTTTCAGTGCCATCAGCCAGACAGGAACTGGGTTGATGGAGGAAATCATTTCTGATCATGTCAGAGTTAACTATTTTTTGTTGTGCGTTTCTCCACTGCACAATCCACTTTCTGGATTCTGTGCCCAACTCCGATAGAGGGTTGGGTTCTGAGCTATGACTGGGAGCCAAGGAGAAAAGAGACTGGATCTTCCCGTCCTAGTGCCCACCACCTAATGCCTAGTGCAGGCAGCCCCAGGATTGTTATCTCAGGGTAGCAACTTTTTACTAAACCTTTTTAAGTTAAAAATAATCGTTGAGCCCGGCACAGTGGTGCATGCCTGTAATCCCAGCAACTCAGGAGGCTGAAGCAGGAGGATCCCAAGTTCAAGGCCAGACTCAGCAATTTAGCAAGGCCCTAAGCAACAAGTGACCCTCTCTCAAAATAAAAATGGCTGGAGATGTGGCTCAGTGGTAAAGCACCTCTGGGTTCAATCCCAGTGCAAAAAAAAAAAAGTAACCTTGAATCTAGGCCCAGAAGCACAAACCTGTGGTCCCAGCTACTTGGGAGGCTGAAAGGCAAGAAGATTGCTTGAGTACAGGAATGCAGGGAGAGCCCGGGGAACATAACAAGACCCCATCTCAACAAATAATAATGCTAATAATAACCTCTACTGCAACAAAATCAGTATATGTGAATTGTAGAAGTTGGAAAAACATTTAAAATAACCGTAACAAAAATCTTAAAACACCTGTGAGAAAATAGATCCACCAAAAATAAAAAGGGGGGTGGGACATTTCCTATCACCTGGTGAATATCACTGATAGTAAATGATCATGTATTTTTCCAGATCTTTTTGCATATATTTATATACATAATTGCTTTCTAGTATGAGACTATACCACACATACTATGGGGTAACTTTTATGCAATAAACATTCTTCACTTTTTCATGACAATAAAAAAATTGTCATGTCATCTTATGGAATATTCGTTCACTATTCAAATTTCCCTAGTTTTCTCAAAAGTATTCTTTACAATACGTGTATCCAAATGTCTGGCTTTTTAAGTGGTACTGACAGGTAACTAAGCCCCCGCACTTCCGAGGGGGCACCTTCTGGGTTGGTCAGGTTGCCCCCCTGGTGGTTGAGGAGACAGTGGCCTGGACACAGCCCAGGGGGTCCTGAGTGCCAGGAAGACCATTTCCAGCACAAGTCCAGCAGTGCTAGGCTACCAGACAGGCCCAGGCAGAAGGCTTGGAGAGGGAAATGTGGGTCATGCCCAAAGCACAGGGCCCCACCCCGAAGTTTGGCAAAGGGTGAGCAGAAGTGAGAAGAGCAGGTGGGAGCGATTCCACTCCCTGCAGCCACCAGGAAAGACCTCCCCACCCTCTTCCTCCCCAGGTCACTTCCCCTCATACAGTGAGTCTGTTTGCTCTCCTTCCCAGCTCCCTTCACCTTCAACCTTTCCCAGGGCCTGTTCCCCCAACACAATAGCAAGGGCTACCCCAGTGCATCTTGGGCAAAGGACAGTTTGCAGAAGTGTTCACAAATAAGTCCACGTGGACGCCACTCACACCAAATCCAGGAATATTTACCATTAGCTAAGGAGTCGTGGTTCCTGGGCTTGGGGAACAGCCTGACACTGTCTACCCTGTGCAGGTCCCTGGGGACCTGAACTCCTGACCTCTCAACATTGTATTCAGACACCAAGTAGTTAATCTTAAAAGTAAGAAAAATCAAGGCCGGTTTTTCCTTCCTTCATCCATCCCCGCCCCTCCCGGGGCTCACTGTGGGCCCCACATGCCTCCCCACTGACCTCACCCCTTCCAGCCCTTCTGTCCTGGGCTCCCCAGTCTTCCCAGCCATCTCTGTCTTATCTCTGGAATAGATCACGCAGTTATCACTCCCTGGAGGCCTCATGACTAAAACCTTTGCCACTTCCCCAAGCGCCTTCCCACCCTGTCCCTGTCTTAGTTGGAAATTCCAACACATTTGTGGACTACTCTCGAGCAGAAAGGGTCTGGACACAGGATGGGGCGCCCACAAATAGGAGAAGTCTCCCTGCACACACGGTCTCAGCATTCCTGGCCCAAGTCCGGACTCGGGTGTGCTGCAGACAACAGGGGTAAATGTCTAACTTCTAAGTTATCTGGGTGCTGTCACCAAGATTGCAGAGTGGAAGGCCAATGTCCTGGCCAACTCTACGGTGGCTTCTCTGGCAAGGGAACCCATTGTATTTGGGAGGAAAGGTACCAACCCTGCTTCCTGTCTCTAACCCCCACAGCTAT